CCGAGCAGTCAGGGAAGCGCGAGCGGAGGAAGTAAAAAGTGCCAGTTAGAGAGATTCCACTGGCGACCTCGCTGCGGCCGCGGCGCAACGGCTCCGAAGCAACAGACCTGAGGCCCCGGTCCTCCCCCGTCGGCTTCCACTAAGAGCTTATTAAATAGGGACGGTTTAGAGTTGATCTGTCACTGAGCACTACTTACCCCGAGATCTTTGGGTTTTTGAATTACTTTATTGATCTGAAGATTTTCTTCTTTGGAATGTGACCCTGTTTGGACTTAGAGCTAATCAGGAAACGCTGCCAGGAGGGCTCTTTGTAATCACCTCGTGGACCTCCCCCGCGGGCGCCGTCGACCCTTCCCCGGCGCGCCCCTTGCGGTCGCCTAGGCTTTGCAGGGAACCCGCCAGCCCCGGGCGCTACGCTCCACCGCGCGCCCTGGGAGCTGTCTGTGGTGCTGGGAGAGAGAACGCGGGAGAGGGAGGCCCGGGGGAAGAGACCGGGCAGGAGACCCGGAGAGGAAAGAAACTGGGAATGCAGTGGGCCAAGGCGGCCCGCCCCGTAACATTCGGACTGATAGAGACCTTCAAAATGCAGCCGGAAGGAGGGGAGGAACAAAGTCCCTTCTGGGTCACCGCACCGCCCTGAGGCAGCTGACCTGTTTTTCCAATGTAAGAGGCCAGGGACACCTCCCTTTCTCTGAAAGCGCACACCCTCAGCCCTACACACTTGCCCCCACTCAGCCCTGGGGGTGTTCAGCCTGCCAGAAGTAAGAAGGTAAGGGCATGGGGCACGGGGCCCTGGCCATGCGCCCCAACTCCAAGGAAACAATCAAGTGGCAGAGAGGAAGGCTGGAACTAGCCAAGAGAGTGGGGCAAGACGAAGATCTACTGGGAGATTCAAGGAGCCCAGAGGCACTTTCCAGGGTCCTTGAGGTAAACCCTGGGAAGGACCCCATTCATCCCTCTGCCCACACCTCTCTAGCCAACTGCCAAGGCAACAGCCAGCTTTTACTCGCTAAGGATTCCGAGCTACGGAAGAAACGTGAATCCCCTTGGAGGCTCCACCCTGACCTCGCCCATTCCCACCAGTGGTGAAAAGTCAATCTCTTCCCAAGCCTGTTGACTTCAAGCCGCGCCGGGCTTTTTAGAAAACTAAGCAGCTCTCTTCCAGTATATTTTTGTAACCACATGGCTTAACAGGAACTAAAGTTTCCCTAGCCCTGGGGAGAGCTTTTCCAAATATTTTTAGAAAGTTAAAAATGTAACAAAACAAACTACTCACAGGCTGCAGTTTAAAGAGGGGAGGTGGGATTCAGCAGACTCCTGGGGAAGGGCTGCCTAGGTAGGAGTCAGAAGGCAGGGAGAGAGGAGGAGGGAAGTCTTGGTTTGAGGGTAAGTGGGTTTTATTTGCAACAGAGGAAATCCGCTGTCTAATTTGCCATCGTGTGGGCTTTCATTTTAAGGGGTGGAGCAAAAATAAACTGATACAAGGTGGTAGGTATATTTGCTGGAGGCTAGAGACAAGCTGCAATCGTTACTTTACAACTCACTGAAAATTGCTGGCTTGGACTAAACTGGCTGGCTGCTGGCTAGGGAGATACTTTGTACTTTACATTCACTACAGTTTTCTGCTAGGTTTGCTGGGGTCCCAGAGCTGATATTGGAGGGGGCAAATCTAAGGGGGTCAATGTGGGTATTTAAACATCTCTCTGAAACAAATTCGTTTTCCTAGGTTTCTATAGGAAGCAAAGATTCCCAAGGCAAGTCCCTGTTCTCCAGTCCCCAACTTAAAGGCACAATCCAAACAGAGTCCAACCATAGAGTGCCCTTCGGACAACAAGTGAAGCTAGGGAAAAAGAAAAGGAGCACAGCCCCCAGGGACAGCTATCCTCTGGGCTTCCATAACCGACTTCAGATCTCCCATGAGAAAAAAAGACCTTTGCTTTTCAGAAAAACCTAGGGTTGCACTCCTCATCTCTTAGTCAAGCCCCATCTTGGACAAGCGCAGAGGAACAGAGGGACCCCTTTTGAGGAAAAGGATGGGTTTGCATCTGACTTCTAAGCCGTAGTTTGGGGACGTTTGGATAGAAGGGCACCTGCTGAGGTGCCCTATGCAGTGCTGCAGCAGAAAGAAAAGAATGAAAAGAAGAAATCCAGCACTCAGTTTTCCTCCTGAAACAACTCCCATCCCTAACATCCAATTTGCCAACTTCTATGCAACAGGAAATACCCAAAACAAATTTAGAGGGGAACTGACCTTTTAGCTGCCCAGCTTAGGGGGTTGAAGAAAACATGACTTTGATGAAAAGCAAATTTAGGAGGACCCTGGTGGATCCAGAGTAATGGCTAACGGCAGTGGAATATAAGGCTAATCAAGAAAACTTGGTCTTCCTCCTGCATTATCCAACTATGGAGTCCAAGTTTAGTCTTGAGAATGAAGGGACAGCAGGCAGGGTCCTCCGCAGAGTGGCTGGTGAGCTGCTGGCTGGCTGCTGGTAACAGATGGGTGCTATGGTGTTGTTTGTATTTCTGAGTTTGTTTGTGTTTTCCCCAAATGGACCTGAAGTCATTCTTCATAGGGAATGTGTGATATGTGAACTCCAGTGACTTCCCAGGTCCCTCTTGTGCCCGAAGCTGAGCAACCCCAGGGCCAGTGCAGACAAAAGCTGTAGTACCCCCCCCCCCCACCACCACCACCACCAAGACTTGAAAAGTGTCCTTTTAGGCTCAGGCAGACCATTTTTGAGCCATTTAAACTTGATTGTAAAACCCACCAGCACCTAAGGTGGGACAAGGTGAGACTGCTAGAGTGCGCAGGCACCGGACATTCCCCACTGGACACAGTGGTGCCCAGTTTCCAGCCCAACCCAGCTATTTAGAGTGTGCCCCCAGCTCAGTGGGAAGAAAATGAGAAGGGCCAGTACAGACCCTTTGGTTAACATCAAACAAGACCAAGACCACTTTTAAAGCAAATTGATGAGCTAGAGAGAAATCTGCAAACCACTCCCTAATTAGCCAAAGTCTGATCAAGACGCCGGAGGCAATTTCCTCCTGGATTTCACCCCCTTTCTTCGCTTCTTCCTTCCCACTCCTCCCCAATACACACTCCCACAGCACTCCACTTTTTTGAAAAATGTTTCTAACTCTACTAAGGTCCAACATCAGAGAAAGTTGCAGGATGGGTCTGGATGTGCTTGTCTTACCCCTTTGACACCGGACTAGGGCAGGAACGAGGCTAGACATATGAGAGTACTGAGCTGGGGGATCTAACCCTGGCTCTTCGGGAAATGACCCTGGGGCTGCAGAAGGTGGGAGCAGCCCTAGAACTGAACCCCTGTTCGTTGTTCCCTTGTATAGTCTTGAGCGCTAAGCCTGATGGGCAGCCAGCGTGGTGAGGTGCACCCGCAGCCCTGCAGAGGTGCTACCTGTATTTACACACACCCGCTCACACACCCTCCCAGAGCAGGCAGCGGACCTCCTCCACCCTCTGGGCAGGGCCTCTCATTTCGTGGTCCCAACCCATCCAGGGATGCGGATAAAAAGCTTGGCTAGCCTGTCGCGGCCAGACCTTGATTCCTGCTGCAAGGCATCCCAGCACAACAAACTCACGAGGACAGGAAGCTCGGCGCGCGGCGCGGGGCTGGGGGCTGGATGCCCGCTGGGGAACGAGGAGGCGAGGATCAAAGCCGCAAGGAGGGTTTGTTAGCCGGGCCTCTCCGAGTCCCCCGGGCGTCCTAATTGCGCGCCCTGCAGCCGCTCGCTCGCAGGCTGTCCCGCCGCGTGGGCGCCGGGCTACGGGCGGCAGAACAGCTGCGAGGCCCGAGGAGCGTCCACCCGCCCGCTGCCCGGCGCTGGGGACCCTCACTGCCCGGGAAGAGCCCTCGGAGGAGGAGGAGGGGCCGACGGACCCGGCTGCCGGGCAGGCTGGGAGCAGGGGAAGTTGGCCGCGCACTCGGCCGTCACCAGCGGCCTACACGCGGATTTTCCCCCTTCGCCTCCTGGGCGGCTCTGAAATCGTCCACTTAAAAAGAAAGGAATTCACACATCAAATAATGGCTCGGAAGAGACCAGCGTGAAAACTGGAGCTGCATTTATAGAACTCAACCCAAAGTCGTTACAGATGTTGTAAATTCCTAATATCACGGGAGGGATCGCCCCCCCCAAACCAAGTCAGGCATTTTATCATAGTACAGTCTGCTTTAGTAAAATCAGCTCCCTTGAATTTCATCGCTTGTTAAAAAAAGATAAACTTTATTTTTGTAATTTTCAATCACAAAAAAATCTATATTTTTGTCTAAGCATGTATTTTACGGAATCAAAAAGACATGAAAAGAAAAATCATGTTTTACTAACGTATATAAGTGACTCTTTTTTGGACAACATATAATAAATATGATATATCACTTATCACTCAGTCTTTCAAATGTACATTTTTTTTTCATATTATGGAGCATGCCACTTTTCCAAAAGAAAAAAGGTCATGAGAAATCAGTGCAAAGTTCTCAGTTACCCTCCTCTTTTCTCTGGGGCAGACGGAATGTCCACAGCAACGCCCTGGGCCTCAGAATCTGAGGCTGTCTGTCCATCTACAACTCTCTCTGCCCATACGGCTTCCTCTCCGTGCCCTTCCATCTTCCCTCCTTACCCTCCCCCCTCCCTCCCTCCTGCTTGTCCCTAAAGTCATTTTTAAAAAGAACTTGAGGTTTTGTTTTTGTTGATGTTTTCACTTACTGGTCGCACTTTGTGTGGGGGCAGCATTTTCGCCAGTCACACTGCTGTGGGGAGCTTTCCAGCCCTGTTTCTGGGGGTGGGGAGATGGAGAGCAGAGGGCTGGCTCCTCTTTGGGGGCCCCCCTCCCATTGGTGAGCGGCATCTTCTCTTACTTCTCTGCTTCCCGGGGTCACTTTCGAGAGAGGCCTCGAGGCCTTGAGCGGGAGGAGAAGGGGCAGCTGTCCGGTCCGGGAGGGGACAGGGAAGGGACGGCGGCGCTGTCAGTCGCTGGTTCTTCACCGGGGGTGCGGGGTGCCTGGGATGGGGTTGGACAAGGGATTGAGGGCCGGCTGTCCCCCGGGCCCCAGGCCGTGGATGAGCACGCGGGGCACAAGGGGCCGCTGCAGCTGGGGGTGGGGCGCGGGAGGAGTCCGGTACATGCTGCTATACATGGCTGCGGCGGCCGCGGCGGCCGTGGTGCTGTCCATGCTGCCCAGCAGGCTTGGGTGGTAGAAATAAGGCGACGGAAACATCCTCTGCAGGGCCGAGTAGTTCCCCGCCTCGGCCAGCAGCTCCAGGCCCACCGCGGTCTGCCGCTTCCACTTGGTCCTGAAAAAAAGCAGGCGTGCAGGCACCCCGCAGCTGTGGGCTGGGTCCAGGCACCAGGACCCCTTCTCCCACCCTCTCCTGCCATCTCTTCCGTGGGGGACAGGAAGGCGGCGAGCTCTGAGGCCCGGGAATAACCCACATCTCCTAGCCCTCTCCCCACCCACAGACCCACAGTCCTGCTCACAGAAGGGCCCAAACTCAAGTCAACTTCATAAATTACACCCTTAATATCTGAGGCATTCATAAATGAAATTCCACACACTGCTGCCTTTTCCTGACCCTCTGCTCTGCCGCTGCCCCCCTTATACTTAGACTACTTCCTGAAACTTTCCTGAAGGCCAACTGGGACCATTCTTTCAATAAGCAGCCCTCTCCCTCCTCCTCTAATTCCTTTCTCCAAGTGGCCCCCCAACAATCCCAGAGTGTCCACTCTCTGCCCCTCCCCCTTTCCTCCAGGCCTAGTGAGGGGAAACCATAAACAAAGGGACATGGAGACTCCTGGGCTTCGGACCCTGCCCCTTTCAATCCCCCATGCTCTGGAGACACATCTGTCTCCTCATTCTGATGGGACTTTATGGGGGGGGGGGGAGGCGCTTGGGGCAAGGGAGGCAGCAAGGTTACAAAATGGAATTCATTTGGGGGAGGGCTCTCCCAAGGTGACAGTACCTTGGGGCCATTTCAGGAGGGGGAAAAAGCATTTCAAGATAGTCTCTCCTCTGGGAGAGAGTAACAATTAAAGCCTGTGATCAGCTCTTCTCAGTCTCTTCCCTCCGCCACCAAACCCCGCTAGGAAGAAGAGTCGAACAGGCCTTTGCTCGAATGCCCCATGAAGGAACTCAGGGCCGGTGGGCCATCCGTATGGGCGGCTTCAGCCAAATTAATAAACATGTCGCCCATTTTACATTGGCTACAAATGACACTAATGTTTTCCGACAGAATTAGGGTGGCTGAAACCGTATGTAATGAGACAGAAAATTATGGTAAAGACGACAACTGGATGGGCATTTCCAACTGCACTTATGGACGATTAGAAGACAAATGAAAGAAAAGGAGGGGGAGACAAAAAAAAAAAAAAAAAAAAAAAAAACAACCATTGAGACAAGGGAGCAACTGCCAGGCTTGGAAACACAGCTTCACTTCGGCCTCGGGTTGCCTGGGCTCGCGCTACCATTCAGGACCCGCGAGCACTGCCAGCACCTTTCCTGCTTTGCTTTCAGTGGAGGCCGCGGTTCCTGGCAGGCTCTGGGGTGACAAATACAGGGGACAGACCCTCAGTCTGGATGCCTGGTCGGCTGCCTCATAAGTCAACGCAAGGACATTTAAGCTGAGGCCAGCGGGGCCGCTCCTCCCGGACTGAAATAGCCAGGCTGTGTGGCCAGCTGTGGACATTCGGAACCAGCCTGGGGCAGGCCCGAAGGGTACGCGGCACGGGCTCTACAGGCCGGAGTGTCAGCTGCACAGATGTCTCAATTTGAGAAGGTGTGGCTTGATCGATTTGGGAGGGGGGGGTGGATTCCAGCCACTTGGGTTTGAGAGGGAAAGCAGCATATGTTAAGACACTCAGAAGTGCAGAATGTTCCAAACTCCAGCTGCCTATCGGTCCCTCTCACCTTGGGGGTGTGGCTAATCCCTGCTCCAGTGCAAAAGCCCCCAGGGGTCCACTCTGGGGCCTCAGTCTGAGTCCCGGGAATCTCCCAGGGCCTGGAGCGAAGAAGATTGGCACGGTGGCCATGACCTAGACAGCCAGATGCCTTTGCTCCCTGCCACAGCCTCCCTTACCTGCGGTTCTGGTACCAGGTCTTGACTTGGGTGTCCGTGAGGTTGAGCGCAGCCGCCAGGTCCATGCGGTCCTGCACACTCAGGTACTTCTGCCGCTCAAAACTACGCTCCAGTTGGTTGAGTTGGTGATCGGAGAAAGCTGTCCTGGCTTTGCGAGGCTTTTTGGCTCTCACAGGGGGACTCTCCCGGCTACTTGTAATCTCCCGGTCTCCTTCCTCCTTTGTTCCTGTGGTAGAAACCCATAGCCGTAAGGTAGTGTGGGACAGGAAGGGGGGAGTGTCCTCTTGGCAACACTCCCACAACCCCAACTCAGCTGCTGGTCTCGGGGGACTATACTCTGCCACCCTCATCACACACAAACTTGGACCTCAGCCAGTATGGAGAAAGAAGACCAAGGCCAAGGAGTCTGGAACTTTGTGCGGCGCTCCTAAAGGGTTCTAAAAGGTTGTCTGATCTTCCTATCTTTGGAAGTTAAAAAAATTTTCTTTACTATATAGGGTCCTTTCGTTATTGTTTCCTTCACAGGGCGGGGGAGGCCCTGTCCCATTCCTTTACCGTTCTTACTATGACCTCGTTTTTGCCTGATTTGGTCGTCTTCAAAAGATCTTTCCACTCTGATTTTGTTTGGAGGAAGGGACACCTTTTTCATTTCACTTTTTCTGTTTATTGAAAGTTATAGGCATTTGCTTTCCCTTTTCAGATGCACTTGGCAAATGCTGGAATCGAGTTCTCTGCATTGCTTGCACTGAGTCTTTTAAAGCTTCAGAGAGAATATGTCACCCAGACACCAAGCAGAGCTCAAAATCACTGAGCCCATCCAGGTGACAGTCCAGAGATTTCCGGATTCTATTTGTCAACTTTGGTTTTTTACTGAAATGCTGGGAAATCGATATGTCAATCCCTCTCTGTTTGTACCCGTTTTTGCTGCGCTCCTTGATCTTCCCTGCAGGAAGAACAATAATCTCTCTAATTGACCCACTGGGGAGGTTGGTGCACAAAAAATCGCCAGACCAGACTGTACATCTGTTTTGGGCACTATTATGCTAATGTTATAATAGTAAAACAAGGAGTCAGTATCCTACCTTCCAGATAGTCAGCACACATCTTTCCCAGAGATGACAAAGGTTAATAATAATAATAACAAACTTATTAGTAAAGGAAAAAATCACTCTCCTGGCACATTCAAACTCTTTTGTCGTGCAAAGACCAGAACACTTTCTTCTGAAATTGTCTGATGAGAAAATGGACAAGGGGAGGTGAAGGATAGTTTCAATTGCCATGTCCTGATTTTACAAAAATGAGTAAGTTCAATGTCATAACATTTTACTTTCATAAATGCTATTTCCCAGTTACCTGTAGAGACGAAAATCTTCCTAAAATACAAATATTTGGTTGGGGCCATGGAGTCAGAAGGGTATTTTAAAAACTGAAAAACTGATTATACATTTTTACCATATCGGCTTCCCTATGTTCATCAGAATCTAATTTTTAAAAATTGCTTTGTTACTCCACTCGGAAAATTTTCCGTCATTAAATCTGACGATTCCTGCGATGGCGTTTAGAAAATTGGGTGGAGGGGGGGGGAACGAAATAATTTACATTAAAGAATAAATACTTTGTGCAGACACCTCTAGACACCACGCTAGCAAAGCGCGTTCCTCTCTCCCACCTCCCCCCATTCCCACCCCCAAGGTCTCAGCTAGAAAAATCTCAAGTACTTCCCTTTTATCAACGGAAGAATGCCCATCAGATGCCCTCCGCCTCCGCCCTATTCCTAATAAATTAAAATTAAGTAAAACAAAGCAAGGAGTGGGACTGCGGCGGAGGTTGAGAGGTGACCGTGTAACAATAAGCCGAACTTCGGACGAGTCCGCGGGTCGCGCGCCCAGGCCTCCCCCCCGCTAGCTGTTTTTGGCCGGGGCGCGATCGCCCCAGAAGCTCCCGGAGTAAGCCCGCATCAGACACTCGCGCGGGATCCGAAGGGGAGACCGGGAACCTGAGAATGAGAAGCTACGCGGCTCAGCCAGCCCGCCGAGGCGGCGCGACTCACCGTGGCATTTGATGTCGCTCTGGGAATCTTCCCGCTTGTCGAGTTTGGTTTTGCTGTCCTCTTGCTCGAGCTTTGGCCTGAAGCTCTCGTGCGCCGCGTTGCTCTCCTGCTTCGGGGTGTGGTGGGGAGAGGAGACGCTGGTGCTGTAGGGTGCACACGCCGCCAGAGGTTTGCTGTCGCCCAAGATGTCCTTGATTAAAAAAGAAGAGGTGGAAGTCCTGGGGGCCGAGGCGGCCGAGCCCAGCTGCTGGGCGGGTGGCGGCGGCGGCGGCGGCGGCGGCTGCTGTTGGGGTGAAGGCTGCAAACTTTGCGTGGGGGCCGCGGCTGGCGGCGGCGGCTGTTGGCTGTGGTGGAGGTGGTGGTGATGCTGGGGCCCTTCTGCTACCAGATGCGGCTCCGGGGGCTCCATGGTGACGGAGATGGGAGAAGAAGGCGCCGTTCCTACGGTATCAATCTCCGAACAGGGGGACGGAGTGGCCTGACTCCTAAAATCCGCGGTCCTGGCCTCGCCGAGCGGGCGGAACTCTCCATTCATCATGCCGGGGCTGCCCGAACTGGCACTGGACAAAATCGTGTCTATTCCAAAACTCGACCCGCTGGCCCCTTCCATTGTTGTCATTTCTACATGAGGTCCACGCCACTTCGCCGCTCAGCAGCCGCCGCGACCGAGCAACGGGAGCTATCGATCGTAAAACAAAATAAACACTAAACAACGTTGTCGCCGCTTTCAAAAAACGAAAAAGTGGGACGGGGGAGGGAAGGAAGGATAACCGGGAGGTGGCAATCGGTGGACACTTTGGACACTTTTTGTTTGCCTTATTCATAAAGTAAGGGTGCGGAGAAGGGGAGAAGGGAAGACAAGAGGGAGAAAGTTACAAAAATTGTTGAGGAAGACCGGAGCCTGCGCTCCAGGGACGACCGCGCACGTGGGGTCGGCCGTGGCGGCGCAGGGGACCCGGACGAAGACACAGGCGGCGGGAGGTGACCCGGACGCCGCCGCCGCCGCTGCCGCCGCCGCCTGGGTCTGCCCACAGCCTGGCACCAGGCGGCAGCGGCGGCGGCGGACCTGGCAGGTGCAGCGCCCTCGAAGCCCCGGCGGTCGCGCGCGCCTTCGGAGCTCCCGGGCGGCTCCCCGAGGTGGCTGCCGCGGGCGACTCGGCCGCCCTGGAGCCGAGTTTTCTGAACTTTCTCGGAAAGTTGTGGAGCAGACACCGCCGCAGCGGTGGCGGCCACACAGGACGGAGAGGAAGAGGAGGAAAAGAAGGAGCGGGCGCAGGCGGAGGCGGCGGCGGAGACGCGGCGCCGAGCGACTCCGGCCGCTGCCGGGCGCGTTCGCTTGTAATCCGGCTGCTGGCGGGCGGCGCCGACCCCTCACGTGACGTCACGGCCACTGCCGCCGCTCTCCGCGCCGCGCGGGGCCCGCGCCCCCGCCACCGAGGCCGCGCGCCGGGCCCCGCGCTCCCATTGGCCGCGCCCGCGCGAGCGAGCGACGCCGACGTACCGGGAGCCAATGGACGCGCGACTCGCGAGCCCGTCAGCGAGCGCGGCTCGGGCCCCGCTGCTCTTTTGAGAACCTGCTCGCTCAACCCTTTGCCTGCAGCGCAAAGCCCAACACCTAGTCCTACGGCGGTCCCGGTGTCCACAATCACGTGCGAGGGCAAGGCAGAGAGGAGAGGAGAGACGGGCCAGACTGGAGAGGGGAGCCAAGGGAGTAAAATTGGAAACAAAAGCACACGAAGAGAGTAGCAACCATGTGTCCGTTTTCTTAAGAAGTCCGAGGAGGGAGGAGAAAAAGGACAGTGAGGGAGAAGGAGGCTGGCGGGCTTACCTTTAGACTCCCGCGCGGCCGCGCTCGCGGCATCCTCCGACGCGCGCCTGAGCAGTCCGCGGGCGCTGAGAGCAGAGGAGGGGGATCCCTGAAGGAAGCCAGGGGAAAGTATTTAACTCCAGCAGCCGGACCGCTGGATGGGCGGGTGGACTCGGACCTCCGATTTCGCCCCCAAATAGCCCAGGAGCCCGCGCTGTGGCCCCGCTAGGCGGCCGATCTCCGAGCGGGGATGAGCGCACCCACCCGGCACTCTGGGGAGACGAGGGGTGGGGAAGGGGCCCGCAGCTCAAAACCGCGGACCCAAGTCTGGTCACCAGTCAGGGCCCGTGCTGCAAGAAACGCCTGGCCAGACACTTTCTCCCGAACGGGGTCAATAGTGCCCCGAGGTGTTCTCTGATGGCGAGGGCGGCGATGGTTCACCGCAGTGTCAGACTGGCGTGGGGCTCAGGAACCCGGGTGGCGGGTCCGCGGCGCGCGCTCCGCCTCGCCGCCGGCCAGTTCCCGTTCTCTCTCTCTCCCTCTCTCTCTGGCTCTCTCTCTCTCTCTCTCCCTCCCCGCCCCCCACCTATCCGTCCGCTCATTTGGAAAGGAAACAGTCACTGTGGATCCACTTGGGACCTGGAGCGTGGCTCGACTGTGACGCCTCGTCGGAGGGTATCAACTTACATTATTTTCTCTAGAACGTCTCCAACCTGTCTCTTGTTGAATGTCAGAGTAATGGGAAGTGCCAGTGACAAGACGGCGTATTACTCCTGATTAAGTGCCGTGTCAACCTAATTAGCAGAGTAATTATAAGGCGCTAATGAATGATTCAAAGTTCTTTGAGTTACATTTTACTCCAAATTACCATTTTAAGAACCCTATGGATCTGAGTGGCTGGCACCGCTTCCGTGACTGGGTGCAGAATGATGGTAGGCAACGGCCCTTAACGTGTCCAAGGGCCGGACCGAAATCTGGGGTTTAGTTGCCGTTCCGAAAGTCTCTTTCTGGGGGACAGACTTTTTTCTGCTGAGGACGGGGGCGGGGCGGGGTGGTGTCAGGGAGGCAAATGACCTCCTGGGACGAGATACTACCTTTCTGTGGGAACTGCATCCGTGTAAACCCTCGGTCCGGAAGGGGGTAGGTTGGAGACTCACCCTTCCTGCCTTTTCCGAGGGAATTCGCTGTGTTTGACCCAGAAAAAGCCCGCGCTATTTCAAGGGTGTGTTGAGCTGTTTCCTATCTTTGTGCGGTCCCCCCCCATCCCCCCCCCCACACACACGGGTCCGTCTCTGAGGAGAAGAGCAAGGAGAGAAAAAAACCAAGGCGGGGAATGTGCAATCCGGGCAGCTCTCGCTCTTCTCATAGGGCGAGGGGAGTTAGGCAGCTGAGCCGGGGTTGGGGAGCCTAGGCGGGCACAGGGGCCGCGCTGCGGGCCGAGGCCGCGGCGGGCCGCAGGGGGCGCGGGGAGGCCCCGGGGAGCGCGCGGCGAGCCCGCAGGATGGGGGTGAGTCCCTCCGCGCTGGGCAGCCGCAGAGGGCCTGGGTGATGCCCGGAGAGGGGTCGAATCCGCCGCCTTCGGAGCCGCAACTACTCACTGACCGGACCCACCTGGGAGCCTGCCAGCCGGTCGTCGGCCGGCCGGCGGGACGGGTGTTTCGGAACCATCGGCCCCGGGCTTCCGAGGGCATCTGTCTTAGAGAAGCTCCTCGTGTCCCACCCGGGGAGCCGGGGAGCCGAACACCCTAGTGGCCTCGGCACCCCGCACCTCTGGCGTAGCGTGGGGAGGGCTCTGGGGCTGTCACACAGTCACACAGACTACAGGTGTGTGCTACACGTTATTGTCCCCTCAAATACCAACCAAGGTTCTTCTCATTCTGACATCACCTACCACTTCCCAAATGAAGTGCGTTGGCCCCAAACCCGGGGGTCCACCAGCACTCCCCTCGCTTACTCTTCTGGGTGGGAAGTGGGGAGGAGAAGAAAAGAAAATTTAAGATCCAGAACTAAGCGCACTGCACAAATCAGGTATGCTCGACCTTGATAAATAATTCATTTAAGCCTGTTTTTGTTTTGCTCCGACGCCTAAAATGACTCAGAACCTCCAAAGGCTTCGTACACAGCTTGTGTTGGGCAGTTCAACGACTTGGAATAATTCACGACATTAGCAGGGAAGAGAGAGAAAGATGACCGTATGAAAAAATGAAATCTAAAAAGAAACGGAGAGAGGCAGGTGGAAGTTTTAGAAAAAGAATAGCGTGCCTTTTATGAAAACTCTAAAAACCAAAGAAAACGGATGCCCAGTAGGCCCCACCTTGTGAGTGTCCCAGATCATGTTTTCTTAAGAAAAGGTTAAGGTCAGAGAAGATTTCTCTGGGTGAGATGTTAGGAGATCAGCTTTCAGGAACAACAGTTGTGAGGGGATAAATATGACCTTGACTTTTATCAAGCTTCATCTTTGGGTCCCTACTAGAGAGGAAATGCTAGTGGTGGGCTGAATATCTAAAAGAGAGACCCAAAGGCCACATTGCAAACTTAATGAAAACCAAATTCTTCACAGCTGGGCTTTTGTTTCTTAACTTTTCTCAGTTCTTTTTCCTCCACACACATTCCTCATTTGCCATTATTATTATTATTATTTCAGAGAGTATATATAATCTAAACACCCAGGAAGTCATGTACTTTCTAGCAGAGCAAACATAATGAACTTTTCATTGAAAAATAAAAATTCAGAAATAGAACAGGGTGTAGACTGTCTCATCATATTTTCAATTCCCAGTTATAGGAAAGGAAATGCATTAACTAGATTTAATCTCAGATTTTCCCACTGAATTTAAGACACAAGTAAATATAGTCCCTAAAATAACATAAGTTTGAAAACGTTCTTCCACTTCCAGGCCTTCATTCTTTAAAAGAGAGAGAGAGAGAGAGAGAGACATGAGGAAGAAAGAAAATTATTTAATTTTTGGAAGATTTTGGAATTCTTGCACAGAAAGCAGTTATTTGCCAAATGTGGATAATAGAGAACAAAATTTTCCTTCTGCTTTAAAGGATATGTCAGTCCTGATTACCACTAAAGATGTGCCCTCCCTGCCGCAAATCATGATTCAAACATTCATGTATTTTAACAAGTTTTGTTCTTTAATACATACATACTTTCCTTCATTCAGTTTGGCAAGTGAGATTTGGGGTTGTGTTTAAATTGGAGCATCGGTTTTTAAGGGAACTGAACTCTGAGGAAATGTACCTCTAGATTACGTTGAACTTGGAACTGGTGTTTCTTCTTACCGTGCTTAATTCGAGCGTTTCTAAAGGTCCACATGACAATACCGACTTCCAGGAATGAAGTGCAAAGGCGCTTCCTTCCACAGGGCGGCGCCAAGAGCCCCGAGCCAAGAAAGCTGGCTATTGTTTCTTTCTGTAAAAGATGCAAGATGCACAAATAAGCTCTCCCCCTACTAAGGCTGACTCCCTGACGATATCCTGACCTCTCAACGTTTGAAAGCAAGAAGAACGTTGGAAGTTTCCTTTATTTTTCTTTTCAGCATATAAAGATATTTCCAACTGCTTAAGGATTTGATGCAGATTTGCTTCGAAACATAATGTAGTAAAGAGAAAAACATGAAACTGCTGAAATTGAGTCCCTTAAATAGACAGAACCCAGGAGAATGGGGATTGGAGCCAAGAGAGACAAGTAAAGTAGTTGAAAAATAATCAAGTAACTGAAAACTGCTTTCACAGAATAATAATAATAATATCACATTATAAAAAATGATAGCCTTTGCAAGCACTAATTGTCCCAGAGGAATACAAGTTTTCAGAGATAGTTCTGGTATCATAATAAAATCTGTGAGAGCTGTAAGTTCATCACAGCTTTAAAGAGCAGCAGTTTAGCAGAGACCTAGTGAAGTTGGTCGTCCTGTGGGGGTTAGATACGTGTTGTGTGAGAACCATCAGGAGGAAGGCCAGTGGAGATGCAGAGACAGAATGCTGGAAGAGGAAGCTTTATTCTCATTTGCTACTTTCCAATGCTCTTGAGCAAGGCACTTAACCTTTCTGATGACCACTTTTCTTGTCTATTAAGGGGAAGAACAGTCCTTGCCTAGAAAAGAGTGATTGTGATGACCAAATAAGACCTTCTATGTAACATCTCTTTACAAATTGTGAAGCAAGAGATTGACAAACGAACAATGCAAAGGTGGCAGTTATTTCTAGCTAGAGGTACCATACAGCAACCATATATAATTCCCTTTCTAACCTCACTCATTTTGTTCATTCAGTCAATAAACGCCGTATGTGCCTTCTATGCCAGGTGCTTGAGAATGAGACACTCGCCCACCTCAGAGGGTTGATGAGAGCTTGAACGTGATGAAAATGGTCATAAACGCCATGATGCCTCCTATCATGGGGGTGCAAAAGAGAGGCTACGGAGTCCTACCTTGGAAGGAGTTGGGAGGAACAGAGAAACTTCCTGGAGGAAACGAAGTGTATCTTTGGTCATGAAAAAAAGGAGGTGCATCCCAACTAGAGGGATATAGAGAGGGATTTGTAGGGTAGCTAAGAGTATTAATGGTGCAATAATGTCCACAAATCATCCAAACTTTAACTCTCCTGACAATGGGGCTGGGCACCAGTTTGTGGGCGTATGTTGGCTCTAGAGATCTCTGCTGCAGAAAGGTACGAAATTCTCTCAGAGCACCGTGGAGGGAACAAAAACTAACTACACATGCCTACAGACCTCAGCAGAAGAATTTTGCCGCACGTTTGATTTGATCTCAAGAGATGGTCAAATCTCCCCCTCAAACTACAACTGCAACCATCCTCCCCACCTGTATTCCCACTTCCTTTCTTCTTGCTAGGGGTCCACATGTGGAGGGAGAAAGACGTCCTCCTTAGAGACAGAAGATGACAAGGTGGAGGCAGTTGGAGAGGAATGTGGCAGGAGGATTTTTTCTCTTCCTAAACTAAATCATTGCCCATTGAAGACCAGCTCCTGGGGAAATGAAAGGGTTCCCGGGTGACACAGCCACGTTCCACTATAAAAATAATTCGGAGGCCCCTAAGGTTCAGGAAGGTAGTTGAATCTTGTATCAACTCCTGAGGTTAAGAGGGAATGGAGGGGCGGAGGCAGAGGAGAAAAGAAAGCCTCAGAGCGCTGGGCGAAGATGCCAATCAGAGAAGGGGAAATTCATTTGCGATGTTAATTAACAAGCGGCTCATTAAAACGGCACTTTGAGCGCTAATCAATCGCCTTATTAAGTTAGAGCCATCACTGGAACAAATTGAAAGCTCCCCGCCCCGGCTCCTGCCTCCGGTGCGGGCGGGGCTGGATTCCCAGACCCCGCGGGGTGGGGGGCGATCTCTGACCGCTCAGGCAGCCACAGAGGTCTACAGAATCGCCAGCTCCCAGATTCAGCCCTGCCGGGCCTCCCGCCTCTGCCCCGGGACCCGATGAACTGGACACGCGTCTACGAGGCGACTTCTAGTCCAGACGCACCGGGCAGGGGAGGAGGGATTGCGTGCGAGAACCACGGGGTCAGGTAGTAGGGACTTTGCCTCCCCGGAAGGAGCTCCCCAAAATGTGCAGAAACTCGAACTGCGGGCCGCAAGCAGGGAGAGGAAGCAGTTCAGCCCGAGAGGGGGCGCTCTCGGGCCAGGACCATGCATCCCCATTTCCCGGGACCGAGCGGTCGCTTTACCTTGAACGCTCTTAGTTAGGCCCTTGCCCGCACCCAGCTCAGCAACCAGGAAAGAACTGGCCTGTCTTCAGGCAGCAAGGACAGGACAGCCAGTCACCTCGGCTCCTTGGGCCCCACAAGAATGGGGTGGGGTGTGCAAAGGGAGGAGGGAGTGGGCGTGCTAATCCTCTGGGACTCGGGCACACCACGTCCAGCCACTAACGTGCCTTCCAGCCAACCCATTCACGTTTCCTCATGCCTTTTTCCAAAATCGCTAAGAGAATTAAGATTTTGAATCTCTATTTTGAGGTGCCTCCCCCATTTCCTAATTGTTAAATGCCCACTTTTCACCAAATTCCCAAGGGAGAAGTAGCTGGCAACAAGAGGGGACTGTGAATTTAAACGCTAATTAAGTGGGCCCTTCGACTGCAACTCCACCTGCCTGGCGGCCCTAGTTAAAGCTGAACGCACCCGGCCCGCACACCGCCACATTGCTGGGGTGCAGAGCAGAAGCTCAGTTGAAGAGGGACTCCGGCGGACGCCTGTAGGGTTTGCTTCCTACCGCCTGCTACTGGGGGCGGGGGGGTGGGGGGGAGGTGGGGAATAAAGAGGACGCCATTAGAAGGAGGTCTTTTGCGTGGCGGGCGATAAGTGGCGTGGCCCAGGGTGTGGTTAATGTGTCTGCGATGACACGAACGTTCTGAGCTGGCCTGTGGGCTTGCCTTCGCAGAGATGCGTCGGACTGCGTCTGCTAGTAGGTCTGAGCATGCTTGGGGTGTCCCGGGAGAACCGAAGGAACAGCTCCCACGTGCAGAGTTCAAAAGCATTAATATTTTCATCATATTATCATTATTCAATATAATAATATTTGCTCGGTTAGCGGCACTAATTAGGCCACATTAAAACTGTAGTATCTCCCTAATGGTGCGTAATGTGCCCACACTCACATTTTTCTCTCTGAGGATGGGCGGCTCTTGGCTGGCAGAGGAGAGGAGACAGACAAGCAGTGGGATGGATTCGGGTATGCTACCCCCAAACACACACACACACACACACACACACACACACACACACACCCCGCCAGGAATCTGCTGAGTGGGGTCCGCCGTCGCGGCAGGGTCGATGGGACCCTCCGCTGCGCGTTCGGCCCAGCGCCGAGCACCCTGCAGCCTCCTCGCGCGCCTCGGCCCTTTGAACTCGGCGGATTGATTTTGCTACCTTTCCCCCTGTTGTGTGTGTGCCTTCAATTGGTTAGGTTTTTAAGGTTTGGGAGGGCCGATGTGAAAGAATTAAAATACTCTTAACTGGAGCCCCGGGGCCCAGAACTGGAGGTCCCGCCCCCTAGCTCGG